GAGAGAAAGTAAGTCCTGGTCTGTATTGTAGTCATTCATCCCAGTGTCCTGGCCCTGAAGTCCTCTCTGCATTTGGAGTCTGACACCACTTTCCCCTCAGTTGCCTCTGATCTCGTCTGCCCTCGGGTGCTTTTCAGATCCCCTTCCTCGGGGTCCAGCTTTCTTACTTCCTGGACATTATTCTGATTATGTCTCGCAGATGGGCAGGGCTGCAGTTGGCTTCCGTTGCTGTGCAGCATCTTTCAGTTCTTGGTGCCCTCATTCTGCTCCTTCCTCCAACATCTGCTCCATCGCTCCCAGTCCTTGAGTGTATTTCTCTGTATTTCCTTCCCCATTTGCTTTTTCTAAATCACCAGATCTAATCCTGGACCACCAAACCCTGCCTCTAAACCTCCAGTGGTTCCTGTGGTTTTTAGAATCCATGCAAAGTTCTTAAAAAAGGATGAGCAAATACACTGGCTTCAGTGAGCTGTAATTCACAGAACATGTATTTGACCCGCTTAAAGTATCTGTGGGTGATGGTTCCTGAGCTCTGTGCGTGTTGTACCAACAGCCCCTGAAAGGAGGAAGCTGAAGATCAAAGACATTAAACCATCTGGCGAAGTCCTTGTGCCCAGGGCAGACCCCAGTCCCAAGCCTGTGCTCCTGAAGCCCATTCTCTGCTCCCAAGCAGCTGGCCCAAGGGACTAGGTGCTTTGGAGAACAGGGTTTCACAGTCAGTGCTCCCAGGGACTGCCTGCCTGCCTGGGAATGAGACTTCTGAGCAATTTCACAAGGCTGTGGAATCATGAGGGGAACATTCCTTGTCTATTTCTGCTGTGATGCTTTCTCTTGTTGTGGTTTTCTTGATCTATGCTGCACGTGCATGTGTGTGTGTGTGTGTGTGTGTGTGTGTGTGTGTGTGTGTGTATCCTTATCTATAAATATCCCCATCCATGGGGGTAAAATACACATAATATAAAATCTACCATCTTAATACCAGCGGTGTAAGTACATGCCCTCTGTTGTGCAGGCATCTCCAGGACTGTTTTCTTCTTTCAAAACTGAAACTCTGAGCCAACCCACCCAGCAACTCCCCACTGCCCCTCCCCATAGCTCCTGGATGTCATCATTCCACCTTCCATCTCTGTGGATTATTTGACTACTTTTATAGGTACCTCATAAATGTGAGCTCATATAATACCGCTGTCCCTTGGTGTCTGGTATCCCCGAGGTCTGATTCTAGAAACCCCCACAGATACCGAAATCTGTGGCTGTGTGTAATGCCTCCGTGAATAGTCATGAGCAAGCTTTTGCATGTGGATGGGTGTTCATTCTCTTAGGTGTCCATCTAGGAGAATTGCTAGTTCAACTTGTAAATCTGTGTTGAACATTCTGAGAACATACCAGATTGATTTCCAAAGCATTTGCACCATATAACATTCCTGTTAGCAGTGTCTGAGGTTTCCAGTTTCCTCTCTTCCTTGTTATTGTTGTCTTTTTGTCTTTTGTATCTGGGATTGAACCCAGGGGCACTTTACCACTAAGCCACATCCTTAGTCCTTTTTAATTTTTTTTTTTTTTTAATTTTGAGATGGTTGCTTAGGGCCTCACTAAGTTGCTGAGGCTGGCTTTGAACTTGTGATCCTCTTGCCTCGACCTTTTGAGTAGCAGAGATTATAGGTGTGTGCCACCCCACTGGCTATTGCTGTCCTTTTGATCATTGTCTTTTAGATCATCTTTATCCCAGTGGGAGTGAAGCGGTTTTGATTTGCATTTCCCTAATGGTTGAGGACGTTCCACATCTTTTCATGTGTTCACTGGCCATTTTTTTTTTATATTTTCTATAGAGAAACATCTACTGTATTCACATTTTTTGCCTATTTTTAAGTAGGATTGTTACAAAGTTCTTCAGATGTCCTTCTACACCCTCCCCAGTGTAATAGTCCTAGCCTCATTTCCAGTTCTCTCTGGCCTCCTCTCCCGACCTGGCCTGCTGAAGTACACCTGAGCATGCAGCTGTCAGGGCGGCACTCATGATGCCCTGGTGGCCATACTCTCCACGCCTCTGCCCCTGTCTGCCGTTGACTCTGCAAACGATGTCCACCTCCAGGCCCCAGGTGGTCTGTCTCCCATACTTCCAGAGATGAGCTAAACCACAGTATGCCCACCTAAGCCTCTGGGTTTGCCCACCATTTGCCACTGAGTTCCCTGAGGCCAGGGACAGTCTCTAATTGTGTCCTTGGATGTTTAGCATAATAAATGTAGAGCAACATCTTGTTAAGTATTTTTTGAGGAACCATGCAGATTTTGGAAACATTTTTTTCCTCCACCATCCACCTAATTGATGAACATCGTCCTGTAGTTTTTGCTTTGGTTAGTGATGTTCTACCTCTAAAAACCCCTGATTTCACAAAAGCTAACAGAGAATGGAAGTTATAACAAAGGAAAGTTGCCTGCATTGTACATGGTCCCTATGTGTAGACTTTCCTTCTGCTTATCCTGGCTGATGACTTTTCTTTAGATCCACTCACAGGGGTGCTAGCTGGGCAGCCATGCGGTGCTCGCTGGCCTGGATTGCTCTGAGAGGTGGAGATCAAAGGAAAGCAGTCTGTTGAGACAGTCAACAACTTGCTGCATTATCTATTGCTCAGCCTTGTGACTTTTAACTGCCTCTTTAAAGAATCTCGAATCAGATATGTTAGTGTCGTCATCAGTGTCGTAAAAAAAAAAAAAGTTTAAGAGCCATGATTGGAGAGTAAAACATTCACCTTTTAAAATGCCATTTGGGGCCTAAACTTTGTGACTTGTGAAATGTTTTTCCTATCCAGATCAGTGAATTAGATATCACTTGGCCTGCGTTTTGAATTTGGACTTACAGCAAGGCAGGTGCTGGTGATAGAGGTATGGAAGGTTGTAATCAATGGAGGTATGGGGTCACAGCCACATGCTGTCCACATCAGCTGGTGCTGAGGAGTGATTGAGGCTCCTGAGAAAGGGTTCATTTAGTGAAGAACACTAATGCAGCCTCCAGAGGCTTCTTTTTCATGAGCTGTTCAGCCAGGACACTCCCAGGCTGGGAGGGGGGTATGGGCGTTGGGAGGAGAGAAACTGCTGTTCTGCCCTCTGTCCCCTCTCCTAATGGAGACTGCAGAGGGACCATTAGCCCAGCAGCATTTCAGACACACCAGATTCTCATTACAGCTGAAGCTACTTGAGAACTCAAGTTGAGGATCCTCTAGGGAAGACGAAAGGTTTGGAAGCAGCCCCCAGACAATCTCTTACTACATCAGAAAAAGACCCATTGCGCCCTACACACATGTAAATTTACAGCCGGAGTCGGGTGTTTGCGGGAATAAAAGACGGAAGTCACGTTTGGGGGAGAGACTGAAGCTAATTTCTGATTGCCCGCAACGAAGTGGCCCTCATTTTGCTCACTCTAAGCCTGAATGTGGTGCATATCGCCGCCTGGTGACTACAAGAGCAATTACGTGCCAAGACCCCGCCTCTGGCCTGGGCTTCCTCTTTCCCTGGATTCTCTGGCTCTCCCTCCAACCGAGTGGTTGCTGTGTCCACTCTGGCCCAATGCGGAGGCCGCCCACCCTCCCCGCTGAAGCAGTAATGAACGTGATCTTCACGATCTGAAGAAAAGAGCAATAGTAAAACTTTTCTCTTTGTTTGCTTAGGGGAAGAGCCAAGGCTAATGGGGTCAGACAGGCAAGGCATGCAGTGATAAATAGGAAAAAGATGAAAAGAAATGGGAAACGCAGGGGACCTAATGGATCTACCCTGACAATCCTGGCATACAAAACCGTTTGAAAAAGTGTGATAAATTGTCATTTATCACTTTATGTAGAACAAATTTGAAGCTTCATTGAAAAAGAGCTGACGAATTCTAGAGCTGCCTGAATTTCTTATTTTTAAAAAACACAACTTAATTTTCTGTCTCTTTCTGTGCTGAAGATAAACCTTAGGACCTGGGTACATGCTAGACCAGCATTCTAGACTACTGACCTATGTCCCAGCAGACCCCTGCCTTCACCAAATTTCTGAAAAAAAAATTATTATTATTTTTTGGGACCTGATATTGAACCCAGGGAACCTAACCACTGAGCCACATCTGCAGCCCTTTTTAAATTGTTTATTTTGAGACAGACTCTTGCTCAGTTGCTGAGGCTGGTCTTGAACTTGTGACCCTCCAGCCTCAGCCTCCTGAGCACCTGGACTTTACAGGCGTGTACCTGTATGCCGGCCTGAATTTTTAGTTCTGCTTGTTTTTCTTGATAATGGGCTTGTTCAGTAGAAGCAGGATAATGTCTATGTATTGGACTAGAGCATAGTTTGATCTAAATATTTAGCCAGTTTGTACCATTAAAAAAAAAAAAAGGACCGAATGCTGAAGTATTTCTGCTTTTTAAAAGTTGCCTTGATCAGATGTTGAAGACAACGTTTGCTTTGTAACAGCCGTGCTCAAAGCGTCCAGGAAACAGGACTACTGCGATTTGCCAACCCTCAGATCAGGGCAGCATTTGGGTGCCTATGTGAGAAACAGATAGTGAAATACAAAACACCATAGGTGTGAAAAGGGGAGCAGTGTTTTGCCCCTCATCAGCCATAGAATAAATGGAAGGATGCAGAACACAGTATTAAAAATTGAAGGAGACTTTAATGTCTGTGCGGATATTTCCTTTACATAATCTTAATTAAAGTCGAGATGCGCAAGTCAGCCAGGGATGAAGTAACCCTTAGATCAAAAGCTGCTCTCTGGGTCGCTTTCATCCCCTCGTCTTCCAAGCCCTCGGTGGGTATCTGTGAGCCAGCTGACCACTAAGGGAGACCAGTCGGGGAGGGGTTCTCTCCTGTAGGGTGGACACGTGACTCCCGCGGCTGGGCCAAGTCTGGGGAGAGGTGCTGCGCTCGCTCGGGAGGCGGGGTGAGGGGCGAGGCGGGGTGGCGGGTGGGCGTGGCCCGCCTATAATTAGCGGGGAAGTGCCTTCGCGGGTCGCTCTGCGCTCTGCGCTGCCGCTCCGAGGACACCTCGGCCCCCCTGGAGCTCTGCGGTGGCTGGCTGTCCGTTCCGATCACACCTAGACCTCGGCGGGTTGGTAGGAAGGAGGCTGAGCAGCAGCCAGCTGCCCAGGAGGGCAAGGACTGGCCCACTGATTGGCCTCTGGACTTGCGCTATTAAAATATGCTGGGGACCATTACGATCACAGGTAAGACGCGAGCCAGACCCCCGGCGACCGGCCTGGGGCGAGAAGCGCGCTTTCTTCCCTCTGCCCTTGCATTTGGGTGGGCACCCTGGGAGGCCAGGCACGCCTTTCTGCCCGTGCGCCTTTTCATCCAGAGCTTCTCTTTCATCTTTGCCAAAGCAGAAATCTTCCAGAAGGCGCTCATGGGAGCGTGTATTTTCCGTTCAGGTTGTGGAGTAGCCTTTCCCTTGGTAGAGGGCTCCGGCGGGGCCATGGGGACAGGAACTGCAGCAGCCAGCAGAATAGAAAATACCAGATTTGTGCGAATTTGAAAATAAGGCGTGAAAGCTTAATCTTTCGCAGTATTCATAAACCAAAAAAAAAAAATCCTGATTTTTGAGAAATTGCAAGTGTTTGGCCTTTTGACTTGCTTATTAGGAACTTTGAAGAAAGGTACACTTGGTGGTTTAGGAGGGTGAAGTTTGAGCTCTGGTTTAAGAGTGGTCATCTAAAGTATGTATGTATGTATATATGAACTTTTGGCAGTACTGCAAATTGAACCCGGAGCCTCTCCATGTTAGGCAAGTGCTCTACTACTGAGCATAAACCCAAGCCTTAAGTGGTGGTATGTTTAATAAAGCTATATTTACTATAAACGTACCCATTTGAGCATTAGTAAAAAAGCTAAAAATGTATTTTTCTTAGCTTGTTTTCTAGGAATCTGGCAATATGAAGTATAATATTTAATTCCTACATCTAGAAAATAAGTTACCTACATCAAACTTTTAGAATGTACTTATAGCTCCTCTAACTTGGTATTGGATTATCTTAATACAATTGTAGGCTGGCCTGGCTTCTTTGGGAGCCTGCACATTTTTTTCTTCCTCACTCCCCCTCATCAAAAAAATTCAACTCCATTTGCTAATTTAGATTGATCAGAGAGCTCTTATTTAAATATTTGAGATCAGTGCTGCCAGATCTATGTGTTTTCTTAAAAGCGCAGTATAGACTTTCTAGGAGTTAAATGTTTTCTCAATCTAACTACTTTGGCAAAGCCTTGTTGTCTTGTGGAATTTTAAATCAATGTGAAAGTTTAGCAAAACTAAAAATATCTCTCACTTCCTATAGATTAGCTTGTTTACTTTGAGATTTCCTTCATATTCCTTCCCCCAACTTGATTAGCTTTACTACTATTTACCAGTACGAACATTTATGTGATATATGTAAGAGATTATTATTAGAAAAAGTGAAAAAATGAAAAACACAAGATTCATGATTTTTCCAAGTCATTAATTTTTCCATGTTTGAAGTGTGCAAATATCCAGTCCTGGTAGAGGTCCCCTGTGGTGTGTCTTGTGGGAGTCATAGAGGAGGGAGGGACTTCTGAGTTCTCACTTTTTGGGACACTTTTTGTATACAAGATGTTTATTATACTCACTGTTTAATTATAGTTTGTCACGTGTCCAGTTTCTTGTGGGAAAGGAAGGTGGTTCTTAAGCAGTAATTAAGAGTTAATAAACTTGTGGCACTGGAGGGAGCTTTTAACAATGGATTCAGATAATAATGATGGAATAATCAATGAACAGGAAGGTTTGGAAGGATTATCTGATTTTTAAGATAATCTTAAGTGGTTGGGCCCCTATTCTGAATATTTTTGCTGTTGTTGGTGCTAGAATTGAACCTGGGGATACATTACTACTGAGCCACATACCCAGCCCTTTTTAGTTTTTGAGCCAGGGTCTCACTAATTTGCAGAAGTTGGCCTTGAATTTGGTAGTCCTCCTGCCTCAGCCAACCAAATTGAATTGCTGGGATTATAGATATGTGCCACCATGCCCTGGTGAATTTTATTTTTATTGCAATGTGGATATGGAGCATATGGAAAACTGTGCAAAATTTAACAGCAAGTAGACATTTCATGATGGAAAAGGTAAGAAAAAAAAAAAAAGCAGGGTGTTGGTGGTTTCTGTCTCTCTCTTTTCTCTCTGCAAGTTATCCTGACAAGGAAAATTTGTAATCAGTCTTTTCTTTTTGGTTCTGGGGATTGAACTCAGGAGCGCTTAACTACTGGGCCACATCCCCAGCCCTTCTTTTATTCCTTAGAAACAGGGTCTTGCTAAGTTACTGAGGCTGGCTTTGAACCTGTAATCCTCCTGCCTCAGTCGCCCAATCCACTGGGATTGTAGACATGTGCCACTTTGCCTGGCTGTAATCAGCCTTTGAATAATTGGTCAGAATCATGAAAAGCAATGAAGGTTTTAAAACCTGGTGTAGGATGCATTAAATATTCAAAGCTCTAATTCTCTGTGGAGTTACTCTTTTAAATAAAGGAGAAGAAAGTTCCTGGAGTCCTCTTCAGTACTATGGAACTTGAGGAGGCGGTGTCCAAGCTTCACAGTTCGTAACAGGACAGATAGTGCTTTTGTAGGAACTACTGAAGAATGAGCTTTCTTTTCTGAAAGGAGGAAAAAACTATCTCTCAGTAGTAACCATTATCATTTCTCTCTGTTTCAAACAAACAACTGAAACTATGCAGCAGAACTTGAATTATGCAATGATGGATCATTCACGTTGCGTGCTGCCATTCCTGAGGTCTCCTTTCCCTTGTGTCCCATTAGCAATAATAGCCTAGAAACTAGAGCATAGTGATTTGACACAGTGATGAGAGAGGGCCCCTTCCTTACTCACACACCAGCCATGCCAGCAAAATACTTCGGAATTAGGAAAATATCTTTTCTGTTTTCCTAAACTCATAAATTTTATTTAGATTTGCAGGTATTATTGATACTTGGCGAACTTTGCAAAGGTATTGTGAGAAGGTAGGGCCGCTCCGCTCCTCCACCCCCCTCAGTACTGGGGATTGAAACCCAGGTGTGCTGTACTGCTGAGCTATGTCCCCAAAGCCTTTTTAAATCTTATTTTGAGACAGAGCCTTGCTAAATTGCCCAGGCTGGCCTCCAACTTTTGACCCTCCTTCCTCAGCCTCCCGAGTCACTGAGATCATACGCATGTGCCATAGCACTCAGACAATATTATTCTTTATCACCACAGTAAGCTGGGGAAAACAGCTTTACTGTTTTAAGTAAAGTATTCATGCATATTTTTGAGTATTTATAATGCATGCACCTACCTATACAAATATTCATGCATATTTTTGAGTATTTATAATGCATGCACCTACCTATGCAAATTGTTTTACAAGAGAAAAAGAAAAAAAACAAAAAACAAAACAAAAAGCCTGCATGTGGCTGTTGAAATCTGCTGTGGATACAGAGAGTTGTCCAGAGATTTGGGAGAAATGAAATCGGTACCTTTGCAACTGCTAAGATCAATGACCATGCCTATTGAGTACCTATTTTGTCAGGTATGTTCAGTACTTTGTGCACATCATAATTTATTCCTCACATTAATCCTGCAAAAAGTGGTTGTTTAACCCCCTTCTTATCATAAAAGTAGATTTCTCATGGTTTGGTAATTTATCCAAAGCCTCATAGCGACTAAGAAGTGTAACTATAGAGTACCTTCTAAAAATTTGACCTTTTTCTCATTTTATAGAAGGTGCTAATAATTGTTTAGTGACACCCACAATTTTTCAAGTCTGTCCAGACACAAAATGTGAAGGTCAAGACCAGGGACAATGATGATGTCACCTGTCAGCTCCTGTACAGGGTTTTACTTCTCTGAGTTTGAATCCCAGTGAAGCATCTCCCCTTGGAGATTCTGTGGCTTAATGGGCTTTAGGACAAGGGGGGTTGGGTGTGTTAGGATAAGGGGTGGATTTAGAATGCAGGGAATTCCTGGAAAAATTCCAGGACAATGCTACAAGTTGTGGGGGAAAGTTAACCAGTTCCAGATGTCATAGTAAGCCATCGTAATGTGCCTGGGGACCGAGAACCCTGGTTATTCTAAACCTAAAACAATGAATGTTGTAGCTTTTGTAATATTGCACTTCTATTTCTCTGCTAAAAATGATGTGTCACTGAAACCCAACAGCAAAGTTCAGATTATAACATTAAAAATTTTTTAATATTTAATTGGACACATGCCCTAATGTTTTAAGTATCTAAAGCAAACAAATTACACTTCTGTTTATTTATTGTACAGATTGTACTTTTATCTCTTAATCTCTATAGTCATCCCTTGGCATCTGTGGGGAGTTTGTTCCAGGATCCCCTAAGATACCAAAATCTGTGGATGCTCAAGTCCTTTATATAAAATGGCATGGTATTTGCAAATAAACTACACATATCCTCCCATATACTTTATTTTATTTTTGGTGGGGTACTGGGGATTTAACCCATGAACACTTTGCTACATAGCTGCATTCCCCAGGCCTTTTTATTTTTACTTTGAGACAAGACCTCACTAAATTGCTTAAGACCTTGCTAAGTTGCTGAGGCTGGCCTTGAACTTGAAATGCTTCTGTCTTAGCCTCCCCCGTTGCTGGGATTACAGGTGTGTGTTACCACTCCCAGCCCTTCCATACACTTTAAGTCATTCCTAGATTACTTACTAGGCCTAATAGAGTATAAGTGCTTCAAATAGTTATTATACTATTTTTAAAAATTTTATACTATGTTGTTAGGGAATAATGACATGGAAAAGATGTCTGTACATGTTCAGTGCAGACAGTTTTTCCCCCCCTCAAAGTATTTACTATCTAGAAACAAGATAGTTATGATGTTGTTTCCACTAACGGTAGATGTGTAAGAACCTGATCACACCAAAACACACACCACACAAGACAGTGTTCGGGGTGGTGCAGATGGCCCTGTGGACCCTTGGAGGGATCATAGTCTTTTTCTCACCCTCTTTACGTGTCTGGAGTGGGAGAAGATGGAAGACTTGCAGGGGCAGTGTGAAGATGGAAATTGCTGGCCACTCAGTTTTTTTCAGTAGACACCCTGGCCACTCCCTTTCCAGTGATTTGGCCATCTCAAATCTCTCCTGATATCCTTTCTAGCTGAATATCATCCTCAGTGAGGCAGTGAACACCATGTCTGTGCTGCATAGTACTTGAGAGG